GAAATTCTACATGGAGCTGGAGAATTTCTATAAAGAAGACCATACCTTCTACAAGATCATTGTTGGTGATTTTAATGCCAAGATAGGACCGAGAAGATCAACCCAAGAACTCCACATCAGGACCCATGGACTAGAATGGAACAAACAGGGTGAGAGACTGTCTTAGTTCATCATGTCGACCAAGACCATTCATGGTAACTCACAATTCCAGAAGGCTGAATCTAAATGTTGGACATGGGAGTCTCCCGGTGAATGGTTTCACAACAAAGTTGACCACATCATATTCAATAGGCAGTCTTGATGGTTTTGCCTGACCAATGTCGCTGGTGTCCCAAAATTCCAAAAGGGATCAAACCACCGTCTCCTTCGTGCAAAATTCTACTTTACAGAGGGGGAGAAAGGGCTGCAAAGTTTAAGTTTAAGAAAAGAACTTCCAGAACGACCACCAACTGGGAGCTCTTTGGCACTATTGCAGCAACATGGGAAGATACCGTCGTTGCCAACATTGACGAGGAATACGATTGATTGGTTCAGCATCTCCATGATTGTGCAAAGAACGCCGAGAGAGAGAGAGATAGCCACAAAAAGATGCCTGTCTTCGAAAACTCTTGAGCTCATTCGTTAAACTGACTTGGCGCAAGCCTCAGGCGACCACAATTGAAAGTCCGAGCTCGCAAAGCAGTGCAGAGAAGCTATGAAGGAAGACCTCAAAGAGAGAAGAGCAGCAGTGCTGGCAGATGTGGCAGAAGCTGGACTAGAGCCGTAACCGACTGGATTCCATGGGACATCAAAAAATCGTGTGTCCGCCCACCTATGAGATGATCAGACTTCTTTGTCAAGATCCTGAATGATCAGTTTGAGGCTGTTCGTGTTCCTAGAAGGAGCAGACGCCACTGGGCTACATTAGCATGCGACAGGGACAAATGGAGCCGTTACTGGCACCTGCTCGAGCAAATCAATGAGTAACGGGATGTCAAGTGATTACAAAAGAATCTGGGATTTGGTCTTTATATCTTATGAAATCTACTGATATGCCTACCACTAAGACAAGTTCTATTAAAAATATATTGTCATTCATAGGGGAAATAAATGAATATCTTCCCGCAGTTTTCATCTCCCCACATATGCAAACACATGTATTCAGTTGAAAATGAAATGTTTACTTATCCTATTCAGAACTCACAGCAAATCAAGTGCTTTTGAGCACCATGTGTAGACTATTATGATAACCTCCCAATTTTTCCATCCTTTGAACTACAGTTACCACACACTACCTTTGCTTATTTTATCATGCCTCACTGCACATGGTCAACATGTTTCTAATCCAATTCCTAGAAACAATAGACTTGTATAGTAAAGTTGCAGGCTATAAAATCAATGCCCAAAAGTCCATGGCTTTCCTATTTGCAAATAGTGAGAGTGAAGAAAGTGACATGAAAAAAAAAACACAATCTTGTTCACAATTGTGCCCCAGAAAATCAAGTGCCTAGGAATCAGCTTAACTAAGGAAGTAAAGGACCCTTACAAAGAAAGCTACAAAACACTACTTCAGGAAATAAAAGACGACACGAGAAAATGGAAAGATATCCCCTGCTCATGGATTGGGAGAATTAACATTGTCAAAGCGGCAATACTTCCCAAAGCATTGTACAAGTTCAATGAGATCCCTATAACGATACCCATGACATTCTTCAAAGAAATGGAGCAAACACTCCTGAAATACATAAGGAACAATAAGCCCACACGAATAGCTAAAGCAGTTCTTGGGAAAAAGAAAATGGGAGGAATCAACCCCTCTCCCCCTAACTTCAAACTCTACTACAAGGCAGTAATAATTAAAACAGCATGGTACTGGAACAAAAGCAGAACTGGAGACCAATGGAACAGGGTCAAATATACTGACATCTCCCCCCAAGCATATGATCATCTAATCTTTGATAAGGGGGCAAGAAATGTGAAGTGGAGCAAGGAAAGCCTCTTTAACAAATTGTGCCCGCAAAACTGGACAGCTACATGCAAAAAAATGGGCTCAGATCTCTGCCTAACATCATGTACAAAAGTAAGATAAAAATAGATTAAGGACCTCAACATCAGACCGGAATCCATAAGGTACATTGAGGACAAAGTTGGCAAAACCCTCCATGACATTGAAGCTAATGGTATCTTCAAAGATGTCACACTACTGGCCAAGCAAGTGAAAATAGAGATAGACAAATGGGACTGTTTTAAACTAAGAAGTTTCTGCACCTCAAAAGAAACAGTGACAAAAATACAAATACAGTCAACAGAATGGGAAAGGATATTTGCCCAATACCCATCCAACAAGGGGATGATATCCAGGATATACAAAGAACTGGTTGAACTCCACAAGAAAAAAATATCCAACCCTATCAAAAAATGGGGCAACAAAATGAACAGAAACTTTCTCAAAGAAGAAATCCGAATGGCTAAAAGGCACATGAGAAAATGCTCTACATCATTAATCATCAGGGAGATGCAGATCAAAACAACAATGAGATATCATCTCACACCAGAGACGGGCCCACATCCAAAAGAACAAAAGTGACCAGTGCTGGTGCAGATGTGGCGAGAAAAGGACCCTCCTTCACTGCTGGTGGGAATGCAGACTGGTTCCACCCTTTTGGAAAACAGTATGGAACATTCTCAAAAAATTAGAAATTGAGCTCCCATTTGACCCAGCAATACCACTCCTGGGAATATATCCCAAAGAGGCAAAAAAAATATAGTTGAAGTGACATCTGCACTTGTTTTTCCACTGCAGCACTCTTTTTTAAAAATTTTTTAAAATTTTTTTATTAGTGAAACACCATGAGGTACAGTTGTAGATTTACAAATTTTTCTGCTTGGGTTTTGATTATGCAATGATCACATACCCATCCCTCCACCAGTGCCCATTTTCCACCTCCATGGATCCCAGTATCCCTCCAACACCCATCCCCCCCCCCATCCCACCCTGCCTCTGTGTCAGGGCACTCCATTTTGTTCTCTCTCTCCTTCTGGGTGTTGTGGTTTGCAAAAGAGGCATTGAGTGGCAATCATGCTCAGTCCATAGTCTACTTTCAACATGTATCTCCCCTCCTGGGAGGAACAGCACTCTTTATAATAGCCAGAATCTGTAAAAACCTGAGTGTCTGAGAACAGATGATTCTGATTAAAGAAACTTTGTACATCTACACAATGGAGTACTATGTAGCTGTTAGAAAAGATGAAGTCATGAAATTTACATACAAGTGATACTACATGGAAAGTATCATGCTAAGTGAAATGAGTCAGAAAGAGAGGGACAGACATAGAAAGATTGCATTCATCTGGGGAACATAAAGTAACAAAATAGGAGACTAACACCCAAGAATAGCCGAGATTAGTACCAGGAATTTTACTCCATGGCTTGGAGGCCAGCCACACGTGCTAGGGGAAAAGGGAGCTCAGATAGAGAAGGGAGCACCAAATAAAGGGTGTTGGGAGGATCCTCCCAGGATGAGAGATGTATGCTGAATGTAGGCTATAGACCAAACATGATTGCCACTCAATGACTCTTTTGCAAACCACAGCACCCAAAAGAAAAGAGAACAAAAGGGAATGCCCTGCCACAGAGGCAGGGTGGGATAGGGGGGATGGGGGTTTAGAGGGCTACTGGGATCATTGGTGGTGGAGAATGGGCACTGGTGGAGGGATGGGTGCTCAATCATTGTATAACTGAAACCCAAGCACAAAAACTTGTAAGTCTACAACTGTACCTCATGGTGTTTCACTAATAAAAATTAAAAAAATATGTTTCTAATCCAGATCTTATTGAATATATGACTTTTTCTTTTGTCCCCAAACCCTTTTTTTCCCCTGGTCATAACCACATTACATCTGCCCAATAGGGTCCTTACTTTTATTTACTCCCTATCAAAAAAGGCTTAATTATCTGTGTAGGTTTTGCCCTCATTGGTCTCTCTTCTCAGCAAGGACCTCTCTGACTAATTTGTCTCTCATTGCTTAAATTAAAAGCTTTGTGTGTTGTTATGGATTAAACCTACGATCTCACATGAAGCATGCACTATATCAGTTCCACATCTCCAATTTCATAACTAAAAAAACATTTTTTTTGCATACACCTGGCAGTGCTCAGGGAACCATATGTGGTACTGAGATACGAACCAGGGTCACAGCCTCCCCTCCATGCTAGGCAAGTTCCTTAAACTTTGTACTATCTCTCCAGGCCCCATTCCTGAAATCTTATCCTGCTCTATTTTTTCCACTGTACCTATTATCTTCTAAAATAGTGTAGCTGCTTATTTTCAATCTTTCCTCTATTTGAATGTGATTGTCACAGGGCAAGATTTTATTTTTGTCTGTTTTGCTTCTGGAGGTCTCCACATAATCAAGGTAATGTCTGGCGTTTAAGTGCGAAGCAGAACTTGTTTAATAAAAACTTCAGGAATTAGAATGCATTAATTAATATTTTAAAAAATCGTCCAGGTTAAAAAATATACCAGGTCAAAGTTTTCTTTTACAAAATGATTGTATCACAATTGTTCAAATTTATGCTTTACTTTTAAATACAACAAGAAATATCTACCATGTGCAAGTCTAAGTGCTTGAGAGTAAAGAGGAAAAGACGCTGTACCCTTTAGGGACTCATAGTAAATAACATTAAAGATCTTTATTGAAAACAAGTCTGGGGCTTGTGAGATAATAGCACAGATAAGATGCTTCCCTTGCATGTATGGCCCTAGATTCAATCCCCAGCACCACATGTGGTCCACTGAGCCAAGAATAAACCCTGAGCACCAGCTGATATGGAAAAATAAAAAACAAATCCTGGGGGTGATTTGAACCTGGCAGTTCTTGGGGACTGCAGCTCAGTGCTGAAACCTGGCTAGGTATTAAGCCCAGGTGCTAGGATTGACTAGCAGGACTCCTGCATGGAAAGCATGCACTTCAGCCCTCTGAGCTACCTCCCTGATCCTAAAACTTTTTGTTCAAATTCACATAAAATGGGTATTGTGCCAAAAGCATAACAAGTTATAAGGGAGGCACAAGTCACTCAAACTTGTGAACGCACAATCATCATGCTTATGAACCGGGAAAGAATCCCTAAAACTCTTATTTAACCAGAAAATCATTTATGTATAGTTTTTAGTTCACAGAAAATACTAAAGATTTATTTTCCATCTCTGGTTTTCCTACCACTGGTTTGCAGGGCTCTGTAATAGAGAGTAAAGGTGCAGTCCTGCATGGAAAGCAGGAGAGTAGGTCTCCCAAGTTCAAACAAAGTGGATGACGTAAGAAAACTCTTACACGGCAGAACATTATGTAACAAGACTAGTTGGATCCACAGACAGACAAACTGACAACAAGAGAAAACAGATGAAAACTTACCCATCCTTCATCACCTGCCTTTTCTAAGAGTGGCAAGTGCGTTTTGTAAGTCGCCCCTATGAAATTCCTAGTACTCTCCCCTCTCTTCCTTTTCCATAAGAGCCACTGGAATCCAGAACTAGACTCACACGAGTTTTCAGAGGATCTCTGTAATTTACTAGGACAGCCATTGTGGCACTAATTAATGGTATGATTTCCCTCTTTCCAATGGCTTAAAGCTGCTCTTTGAAATCCACTTCATTTTTCACCCTTACTGATGATCCCAAAGTATCACTGTCACCCCGTTGTTCATTGATTTGCTCAAGTGGGCGTCAGTAGCATCTCTATTAGTCCCAGCCCTGAGATTTTAGCAGCCTTTCCTTACTCGTCTTTCCCAACGCTGCTGTATTGGAGGCTCTTTCAGGGTCGGGGGAATGAGACTCATTATTGTTACTGTTTTTGGCATATCGAATACACCCTGGGTAGCTTGCCAGACTCTGCTGTGTGAGCGGGGTACTCTAGGTAGCTTGCTGGGCTCTCTGATATATATTTCCCTCTATGACTTGTTGTCTACTGTCTGAACCTCATCAAATATGGTGTGGTAATTATGAAAAATGGGTAGGGAGTGTCTTATGATGTGCCCAGGAATATGCTCACTCATATGTGAGGCTCGGCTCAAGTGTGCAGAAAGTGGCCTGGAGCATGGCGGTGGTTGGATAATGGGTCCCTTGGGGTGAGGAGGGCTCTCACCTGCACCCCTCTGGGGTGCCGCAATTGAAAACAGCCTGGCGCGGAGTCCGATGACATGGTTATGAAGGCCTCATTTTATGCTCCCTTCCAGGAGAAGCAGCCGTGAGTTCTGGACGGTGGCCGATGAGATTATCTGGTGGTGGCAGGGGGTGGCTTTTGGGTGTGACCCTTGGGTCTCTGGAGAGTGGGGGAAGTAGGCAGAGGATCTCTGCTCCCGGTCCCGTTGAGCCCAGGGTTCAAGGTCATAAAGTTCTGCATTATGGAACTTTGTGGATTACGGAACTAATGTGGAACCCAAAGTAAAAAATTTAAATTAGGTATTTATGGCAACCAGGCAATAATTACAAACATGTGCTTCAAATTTTCTAATGAACATTTTTAAACACTAGAAATTGTTGGAAATATCAATTATTTATCAATGATGTTTTCACAAAATGATCCTAGTCAAGATCAATTGCTTTCCAAAGTAAATTAGCCCTTTGAAAAAACAAAAACATCAGTTACAGCAGTTTCACTGACTTGAGCAGAGCCCCCTCTCTAGCGGGCGGCCCAGCAGCCTTCACACTTCACCTGCGCCACGCTAAGGCCCACACCACAGCTCCTGAAGGGCACAGGTAGCTACGGAACGGATACACCCAACAGATTACACACTGCTCACAATTATTCTTCCACTCTTTCTGTGAGGCAGAAAATAGAGTGGCCGTCTTGCATTCCCGCGTGTGTGCGCCTAATCTCAGCTGGTCCTCAGAGAGCCCTGAGCACCAACGCTAGTTCCCCACCGGCCCCATTTCCGCTCCAACAGGATGAAAGTAACCATGCACCGAGAGAGGCTGCTAAACTGCGAGCACAAGCGCGCATTGGTGGGAGAGGAGCTGCTGGCAGGAAGAAGGTGGTTCATAGAGCAGCTACAGCAGACAAGAAACTTCAGTTCTCTTTAAAGAAGTGAGGCGTAGGGGCTGGAGAGATAGCACAGTGGGTAGTGCTGCCCTGCACGCAGCTGACCCGTGTTCAATTCCCAGCATCCCATACGGTCCCCTGAATACCGCCAGGAGTCATTCCTGAGTGCAGAGCTAGGAATAAACCCTGTGCATTGCCAGGTATGACCCAAAAAGAAAAAAAAAAGAGTTCGGAGTAAACAATATCTCCAGCATTGAAGAGGTGAATATGTTCACAACCCTAAGATACAGTGACCCACTTTAAAGACCCTAATTCAAGCATCCCTGGCAGGAAACACTTTTACCATTATAGACCATGCTGAAACAAAGCAGATGACAGAAATGCCCCCCAGCATCTTAAGGTGGCTGGACGGACAGTTTGACTAGTTTAAGGAGACTGGCCGAAACTCTGCCCAACAATCAGGGGATGGAAAAGCATCACTTGCTACTGGGGAAGAGGAGGTGGATGAAGTTCCAGATCTCGTGGAGAATTTTGATGAGGCTTCCAAAATGAAGCAAACTGAATTGTGGCAACTTCTGAAAAAGATAAAACTTGAAGTTCTTGGGAGCAGCTATTTTATATTATGATTGCTTTTAAAACTTTTGTTCAAGGATCCAGTTCAGTGTAGATCTAATATTTTTTAAGCTCAAGCTCCTTGAACACGGAAGCTCTTTTCAGTTTTTGCTTACATACAAGTCATTCTTTGCAACAAATTAAGCTGAAGAAGCCTGGGAGAAAAGTTTGAAATAAAGTTCGTTTAGTAGCACTGTCCTCCTGTTGTTCATTGATTTGCTCGAGCGGGCACCAGTAATGTCTCAACAAATTGTGAGCCTTGTTGTTACTGTTTTTTGCATATTCAATAGGTCAAGGGTGGCTTGCCAGGCTTTGCCATGGGGGCGAGATACTCTCGGTTGCTTGCTGGGCTCTCCGAGAGGGGCGGAGGAATCTAGTATATAGTTTAATTTTTTATTTTATTGGCACTGATTTGTACACAGAAAGCAAACTTGTTTATAAGAAAAGCTAATCATAACATGTAATAATGACTGAAAAATCTTTGATGAAATCTGATCAAAGATTTGAAATGATAGCACAATTAAAAAAAATGAGTAACCTTCAGCTTAATACCTCAGCATCTTTGAGCGGGCATAACTACAAAGATTCACCCCACCTCCAACCCCCACTCAACAACATGGCAAGAACACTAAAAACAATGGATAAAATTAATAAGGAAAACACATAGAAGCGCATTGATTTAAATGAGTGAAAACAGCATCAATGAAGACATAAACACCAAATAGCTCAGTAAATCCTGTGTCTTTAGTGACATCATAATGAGGATAACCAATGAGCTCAAAGAAACAACAGGTAATCAAAGCACATGAAAAGTAATACAGTATTAATGAATAAAACTATAATCAGAAATGATAGAAATGAAGAGCATGGTAGGTGACATAACTAACTCAACAGAAGTTCTGAATAGCAGGATAAAAGCAGCCGAACAAAAGGTCAGGGAGCTCCAAATTGATGAGGAAACTGCTAAGTAACAGCAGATGGTAGAAAATTGTCTAAGAAGAAATGAATATATAATGAGAGGAACAATCAAAGAATTATAGAAGTCCCTGAAGAAGAGGAAAGCATATGTGATAAAGAAACAATAGAAATCATTGATAAGAATTCCCAAGTTGAGGATTACAGGCACAGAGATCCAAAAGGCCCAGTTGGTTTCTGTGAAAATAGACCAAATTAGACATCATACTCAAAATGACAAAATCCAAATAGAAACAGAATATTGAAAGCAGCAAGCAGAACCCCCCCCCCCGCAAACAAACAAACAAACAAAAAAACAAGCTTATATACAAAGGAAAGCCCATAAGATGTACAGCAGATCTATCAAATAAAACTTCACAAGCCAGAATATGGAAGGATGTAGTATAAAAACTCAAGGAAATGAACACCTCACCAGAAGTACTCTATCCAACTAGATCATCATTCAGTTTTGAAGGAACTATACACAGCTTCATGGACAGGCAACAGTTTAAGGAATTCAAAACCTTGAAACTAGTTTTGTAAGAATCGTTAAAAGAGGGGGCCGGAGCGATGGCACAGCTGGTTGGGCATTTGCCTTGCACGCGGCTGACCTGGGTTCAATCCCCGGCATCCCATATGGTCCCCCAAGCACCGCCAGGAGTGCAGAGCTAGGAATAACCCCTGAGCATCGCTGGGCGTGACCCAAAAAGCAAAAAGCAAAAAAAAAAAAAAAAAAAAAAAAAACGCTAAAAGAGCCCCATTCATTTATTTATTTAAAAAAAAAAAAAACCCTTCAAAGGGCAAAAGAAAATTTCCCATTATGGCCGAGTATGGTAAGCACCAATGGTGCATATGGTTGTCCTAGACTGAGAAAAATTAAAAATATGTAGCAATCAATCATCACAAATTAAGTTTTATTTTCTGATAATAACAAATTCTATTTGTTATCCTTTTGTTTTATTGGAGAAAGTAATATGAAATAAACTTGTTATATGCCTGCAAAGGGGGCAAGTCTGGGGCTACGGGATGGGAGGAACCTGGGGATATTGGTGGTGGGCTTGGTGTTGGAACCTTTTATGCCTGAAATGCTATTATGAACAACTTTGTAAATCATGGTGTCTTAATAAACATTCCTGCAAAAAAGCAATTTCTTAAAAAGAAATACATTTGTTGGACCCGGATGCACTAAGGACCAATAACAATTGAGAAGCACTTTACAGAGGTGCTTAACCTGAAAAAACTGAGCACGATTGGTTAAAAAACTTAGCTAGAGACAATTACACAGATGAAGCCGGGATCTATTTCTGGGTTTGACAATTCAAAGCTTACAATGTCAAATGTTTAGACAGTTATGCTGCATGTCTTGCAAGGGTACCTTATCTCTCAAGTTTTGTTTACTGATTAAATAGTGAAAACAATGAATTTGTAATATTGTGAAATAATGGAGCACACTACTGTCACTTCTATTAATAAATCATTTATTTTGGTGTGGGGAGTCTTTTATTTACCAATGTTTTCTCT